GTGTTCCTCTTTCTCCACATCCTCTCCAGCATAAACTGTCATTGGTGTCACAGGAGTAAGAAGGTATCTCAGAATTGTTTTGATTTGCATTTTCCGGATGGCTAAGGATGTTGAACACTTCCTTATGTGTCTTTCAGCCATTTTAGATTCCTCTATTGAGAATTATCTATTTAGATCTGTACCCCACTTTTTAATTGGATTGTTTGGTGTTTTTGAGAATAGCTTCTTGAGTTCTTTGTGTATTTTGGAGATCAGCCCTCTGTCAGATGTGAAATCAAGGATGGTGATGCCTCCAGAAGGTCCTCTATTGTACAGGGTTGTTTTGGCTACCCTGGGTCTTTTGTTTCTCCATATAAAGTTGAGAATTGTACTTTCAAGGTGAGTGAAGAATTGTGTTGGGATTTTGATGGGGATTGCATTGAATCTGTCGATTGCTTTTGGCAAGATTGCCATTTTTACTATGTTGATCCTGCCTATCCAAGAACATGGGAGATATTCCATTTTCTGGTATCTTCTTTAATTTCTTTCTTTCGAGACTCAAAATTCTTATGGTACAGGTCTTTCACTTTTTTGGTTAGTGTTACTCCAAGGTATTTTATGTTATTTGTGGCAATTGTAAAGGGTGATGCTTCTCTGATTTCTTTCTCCACCAATGTGTCATCCGTATATAGTAGAGCTACAGATTTTTTTTTTTTTAGTTAATCTTGTATCCTGTCACTTTGCTGAAGGTGTTTATCAGCTGTAGGAGTTCCCTGGTAGAGTTTTTCAGGTCATTTATGTAAACTATCATATCATCTGCAAATAGTGAAAGTTTGACTTCTTTTGCGATTTCTATTCCCTTGATCTCCTTTTATTGTCTTATTGCTCTAGCAAGAACTTCAAGGACAATAATGAAGAGGTATGGAGAGAGTGGACAGTCTTGTTTTGTTCCTGATTTTAGAGGAATTGCATTGAGTTTCTCTCCATTTAATTTGATGTTGGCTGTCGGCTTGTTGTATATTGCTTTTTTTTTGTTGAGGGATGTTCCTGTTATCCCTAATTTCTCCAGGACCTTTATCAGGAAGGGGTATTGGATTTTGTCAAAGGCTTTTTCAGCACTGAGTGAGGTGATCATGTGATTTTTTTCCTCAGTCTGTTTATATGGCGGATTACATTGATGGATTTTCCTATGTTGAACCATCCTTGCATCCCTGGGATGAAGCCTACTTGATCGGGATGGATGATTTCTCTGATGTGTTCTTGGATTCGATTTGCCAATATTTTATTGAGAATTTTTGCATTAATGTTCATGAGGGATATTGGTCTGTAATTCTCTTTCTTAGTTGTGTCTTTGGGTATCAAGGTTATTGAAGCCACATAAAAGGAGTTTGGTAATGACCTGCTTCTTTCTATTTTGTGGAATACTTTGAGGAGAATTGGTATTAGCTGTACTTTAAATTTCTCATAGAATTCTGCACTGAAGCCATCTGGCCCTGGGTTTTTTTGGTTGGGAGACTTCTAATGACTGCTTCAATTTCATTAGAGGTTATAGGTCTATTTAGGTTGCTTATCTGTTCTTGATTTAATTTTGG